GATCAAAGGCCACTCAACTACTTAGGTCTATCAGTTCTTCCGGAAACTGCTGTAGAGAAGATTAAAATAAAACCTTGTGTAGCCAAGTTAGCTCTCCTGGCAACGTTTTGGTTACCAATTTATGATAAGTGTGGCAAAGCTAGAAAACTGTCCTAGGAAATGTATAGGCCTGGGCCATCTAAAGTTAGTTTCAACACATTCCCATTGAAATTACTAGAGCAAGTTTAGTCTTGACTAACTTAAAAGCATATTACTTTCACTGGCACTGAGGATTTTTCTGAATGCATTCTCTACTGGTATTGTTCGAGGAAAAGGTTCTAGAAAGAAAGAGTGACTTCTGAATTTCAAAGGATAACAAATATTATGGGGCTAAATGTATAGCGACAGTAATACAAAGAGCTATTTAAGTATACCCAAAAACTTGGTCAAGCCCAGTTGAATTTTGGTTCCTTCCTTCCAGGTTTGTAGTAGGCTTGTCGTTTGATTTTCTGGGGTATTCCATTCCCCCTAAAAGTTAGTTAGCATTTTATGCCAACTGAGCACCCCCAGGTCTTATTGGACTGTTTGGGGGGAACCTTCTTTTCTGAGCTTTTCTCAAGAGGTACACACAGGTATGTGCCCAGTCTTTTCCTTCTCACAGTAGAAGTATCTCTATTTGTAGGGCTCCATGCCCTTAGTTTGAGACTCTGTGGCCTTACTGCAAGATGGCATAACACTGAAAAAATCAGAGTATTCCACAAGATGGAAATTCAGAAAAACGTGTGAAGAATGCCTCCAAAAACAGCAACATAGGCTCAGACTAGAAAATAAGCTCCTAATGTATTTTGGGCACACAGACGGGACAGAGATGCATCATATCACAGCCTCAGTGGAGAGGGAGGACTGCTTGCTAGACTCCAAGGAATGTCAGCCAGGTTTGCAAGATGCGAAAACCTGATACCTTCCTACTCAACAGACTGTCTTGTGCCTTCAAATATGCACGGTCTTGATATAATTAGCAGCTATTGTACTTTGAAAGTGAGAGATCTGTCTAGCCAGTCTCCAATTAGTTCCCCCCTTTTTTTAAAGGGGAGCAGTCTTCAGTGTTTCCAAACCTTAGCTTGGCCTGTAGTGATAGCAAAGAAACAAAAAATTGGTCAGTTTATTACATTTGCACGGAATCTTGTTTTCCCAACACACTGGTCATTCCTAGGCCAGGTACAGTGTTCCGAGGGGGAATGTGCCACAGGGCAGGACCTTGCGGGTGGAGTCCAGTTGGTACCTTTGCACTCAGAAACAGGCCTTTGTTCCAGTGGGTGCCTTCACTAATGGAAGAGGAGAGGGAGTGGTTTTTTGCCCATTTCCCTTGCCACCTTCCACCATCTTCTGGAGAGTCCCTCATCTGCAGAGTTGATTTGGGAGGGTGCTGGGTGGAATGGCTGAAAACCACCTCTTCTTCCCATTAGCAGAATTGTCTGCTGGATTTCTCTTTTGGGAGCACATGGCACTAACTGGACTCTTAACCTAGGACAGGTTTCTTAATGGGGTTAGAAAAACACTATGGTAGTATTTCGTTACTATGTTATATGCGGGTGGCACTGTGGGTTAAACCACAGAGCCTAGGACTTGCTGATCGAATCTCCGCGACGGGGTGAGCTCCCGTTGCTCGGTCCCTGCTCCTGCCAACCTAGCAGTTCGAAAGCACGTCAAAGTGCAAGTAGATAAATAGGTACCGCTCCGGCGGGAAGGTAAACGGCGTTTCCGGGCACTGCTCTGGTTCACCAGAAGTGGCTTAGTCATGGTGGCCACATGACCCGGAAGCTGTATGCCGGCTCCCTCGGCCAATAAAGCGAGATGAGCACTGCAACCCCAGAGTCGGTCACGACTGGACCTAACGGTCAGGGGTCCCTTTACCCTTTACCTTTATACAGTCATACCTCGGGTTGGAAGTCGCTTCAGGTTAAGCCTTTTCGGGTTGCGCTCTGCGGCGACCTGGAAGTAATGGAGCGCGTTACTTCCAGGTTTCGCCACTTGCGCATGCGCAGACGCTCAAAATGACGTCATGCGCGGAAGCGGCGAATCACGACCCACGGACGCGGGTTGCATTCGCCTCAGGGTGCGAATGGGGCTCCGGAACGGATCCCGTTCGCATCCAGAGGTACCACTGTATATTTTTGTGACTTTATATTGTAAACCGCTCTGTGATCCTTGGATGAAGGGAGGTATAGAAAATAAGTTAGTTAGTTAGTTAGTTAGTAGTGGTAGCTCAATTCCACCCATTGTTAGTGATCTGCCAGTGTATAATAATAGCCAAAGGATCTAAACCATGTTTAAGCCAAGAAATCTGTTAGTCACTGTGCTTGTACCATACAATAGCAGATAATATTTATTCATGTTTCCCTCTTGAACTAAGTAATAAGGAAATGTTTGTCTGAAACTGAAGTAATTAATTTTGTATCAAAGAAGCAGATATACGTACTTAGCAACCTTAGACTTCATTTGGTGCCTCGCAAGATGAAATTAATCTGTTCCGTGAGTCTCTTCGTCTTGCAGTTTTTTCGTCTTGCGAAGCACGGCTATTAGCGGCTTAGCGGCTATTAACGGCTTAGCGGCTATTAGCGGCTTTAAGAAAAAGGAAACAAACTCGCAAGAACTCACAAGACGTTTCGTCTTGCGAAGCAAGCCCATAGGGAAATTCGTCTTGCGGAACGACTCAAAAAAACGGAAAACCCTTTCATCTAGCGAGTTTTTCGTCTTGCGAGGCATTCGTCTTGCGGGGCACCACTGTATTAGTGTTGTTTTACCTACGTTGTTAGTTGAGTACATTTAGTATTCGGATTCTGCAAAATTAAATGACGCTTATTTCTGTCAATCTTCTGCATCCCCCTCTCCTTAGTTTTCCACATTATGATACAGGGATGCTTCTATGCATTTTCTGTAATAGGGATGGGGAACCTGTGGCTTTCCAGATGTTGTTGTACTATAACCCCCATCATCTTTGACCATTGTTGGTGCTCCCAACAACCTTTGGAGGGCCACATACTCCCCGAATATGCACTCTTTTGCAGAGAACCTCAATGGATTATTAGTTTCGCCTACATGCAGATGGATAGAATAGCTCAACCAATAGGATTGGACTGCCATATTGTAGAGATTTCATTTTGGCCACTGGAGTTCATTGGAGAGCCTTGAGTAATTCACTGTCGTCGTCCCCGCCTTAACCTACCTCATAGGGTTGTTGTAAAAAGTAATGTTATAAAACACTTGTATGCTAATGCTACTACTTTCAGTGGCTAATACAGGTTCTGTGTTTAAACAGAGTTCTTAGCCTATATCCACATTCTAGGCTCATGTTTAGAAGTAGGTTCTAAAACTGCATTTTACATTTATGATGGAGTTTGTAAGCCTAATAATTCGGAACATTTGTATCTGGAGAGTTTATTGTCTTCCTTCAGGTTTTCTCCCCTATCCTTGCATAGCCTTTTGTTAAGCATTAACTATTTATTGAAAATTTTCTGTGTTTCAATGTGTACATGCCCGCTGATTGCAGAATAACTTGTGGTGCTACAAAAGTACACCCAACACTAAACAGCAGAAGCCAAACAATCAGGGGAATGAATAAATAAATAAATAAATACAAAGGGGGGAAAAGACATATGAACATAGTAAACACATTGTCATTGTACTATTGTATAACCTTTTGAAATCCGGTTTATGGAGTGTTTGAAACATTGCTAGATCAGGATGGTAATAAATTTGTCACTGATTCTGCAACGGTATAATTTTAGCATGGATGATATAGGGCAGGCATAGGCAAACTCGGCCCTCCAGATGTTTTGGGACTACAACTCCCATCATCCCTGACCACTGGTCCTGTTAGCTAGGGATGATGGGAGTTGTAGTCCCAAAACATCTGGAGGACGTGAGTTTGCCTATGCCTGATTTAGGGATTGGAAACCAGAACTGGCGATACTTGTATTCATGTGACTATATTGGGGGATATTCCATGTTAATCATATATGGGGTGATAATTATATATGGAGTCATACTTGGAGGACACCCTCTGACTTAGCTGGATATCGCTCTTTGTTCTTGGGGTTGGTTGGTTTCATTTATTAAATGTGGTGTTCAAGAGCTTTCCACAACTTCCATGAAGCAGGAGCTTTTTTGGGATTACCTCCAATACCCATTACACTACAGATGGGGAACCTGTGGCCTGCCATATGATTTTGGGTTACAACTAACATCACCTGACTATTGGCCATGCTGACTGGGGCTGACAGGATGTAGAGTCCAACAACATCGGGAGAGTCAAAAGTGCCACAGAGCAACAAGGGTCTTTGAGCACTTGTAAGCATGTCAATAGTTTTCAATTCTGTGCGTTCCTGGAAATTCTGGAACTGGCAACGGCCTTGGGTTTGAAATGTTTTGGGGAGCCAATAAACCAGGGACTCAGAGATTGGATTGTTCAGACTTTCTGCTGAAAGGACTGAAGCAGGCACTCTCTGAAAGTATAGGGCTTTAAAAATGTTGTTCTCTGCAGAGGAGGTGATTTAGTGCCGCACATGCAAATTAAAGGCAACCCAGCAAAGCCAGAGAGGGAGACCTTAAAAACTGTGCCTGCATTAAGGTGAAAAATGGTACTCTTAGCAACGGCTCGCTGTAATTTCCAATATTAATTGAAATGGACATATGGGAAGCAGCCCTGGAAAACTACTTCTGAGGCGGGTTGCGTTACCCACTGAATGTTTGGCTGTAAAATGTGAGAAATCTGAGTTAAATCTATGCTAATTATGGGCTCTGTGTTAAACTGCTTGCTTCCTTTGTAACCCATCATTTTGCCTGTGTGCCATATCGTCAGAATAAAGTTCAGTAGGATTATTTAAATATTTTAAATGGCAGATGTGCTGTGACTCGCCTATGGTTATGAAAATACTGATGAACCATATTCCAGAAAGCCTTTCCTCCCCCCTTCCATCTCTCCATACTGTGATCTGTTGACATTATCCTCTGTTCCTTAGCTTCAGACAGTAAAGTCATGACATGTGCGGCTGTTTGGAGGATGCCGAAGGAATTGGAATCAGGCAGTCATGAATCCCCTGATGATTCATCAAGCAACGCTCAAACCCTGGAGCTACTCTGTCACCTTGACAACACGGCCCATGGCAATATGGCCGGGTAGGATTCTGCATATTTTATACTCTCAGGAAGGGGGGGGGATGTGAAGGATAGACCTATTCTGTTCAATGCAGCTTTATAGTAAGTTTGGGGTTTGCACATTTTAAATATACATACTTCTGAGAAATCATACATACTGACTTCTTCTGGGGCTTTCTGTGAGGGGGGGGAGATTTATTCCAAACAGCATCAGGGATTAAAAGCATTAGTCCTGCAAACTCAACATTGGTGCAACTATCTTTCTGCAGTTCTGCTGTCTTTCCTTTTGTACATGTTTCACCTGCACACCAACTAATGCTAGCTGTTCAGTCACATTCTCTATAACTTGGAAATTCTGTTTTGATCTTTGTTTGAGTTCTAACTCTCTCTCCTATGTTTGGTCTACCCTGAAGTTGAAATTTTATTTTATTGTGCACTTTTATCGCAAAAAAAGTAGATGCTTTCCTATCAAGAATTGATTGCGGAGTATTATCAAAGAAAGCTTTTCACATTCCCTTCTAATTAGTTAATGATGACTGGTGTGTGTTTACAGTGTTATTGATGAAAATCCCCAACCCCTTTATATGTTTGTGTACTGGTAAGATAGGACTGTTAAGACACCGTAACCAAATTTTGCATGCCAGTTCCTGAGATGAAGGTTCAGGTTTTCATCTATGTTTGGATACAGCTGGGTCCTATTTTGAATGAAGATGGTGGGTGGAACATTTCAAAACTGCACTGGTTTTGGGAGTTTCTTAAAACTCCCAAACAACACCAGGCTGCGAGTATTAAAAAATGTAGTTTTAAGTACAGTCGTACCTTGGATCTCAAATGCCTTGGCTCCCGAACAAATCGGCTCCCGAACAATCAAAACCCAGAAGTTTTCAAACGGAAGCCCAACGTCCAGTGTGGCTTCCGATTGGCTGCAGGACCTTCCTGCAGTCAATCAGAAGCCGCGCTTTGGTTTCTGAATGTTTTGGAAGTCAAATAGACTTCCGGAACGGATTCTGTTCGACTTCCGAGGTACAACTGCATACATATATAAGGTATTGCTCTTCAGAGTGTTTCCAGTAGTACATATTGCTGGGGGTTTTTCTTGAGAGTCTTCTTCCGCCAGTTGACCAGTCCATCACAAAACTGGTTATCCAGTTGTCCTCTTCCTTGCACTGGTATAGCATTATCTTTACTACATGGGCTATCTCCTAGACTCTTACTATCCAGTCTTCTAATGTGGGAGTGCCCATTTCCCCCAAATATGTATGTGTTTGAGGGAAGGGGGGGCTATTGGTTTGTTTTTGTTTTATTATGTATTTTGTGTTCTCATTTTGTATTTTATGTTGCGAACCACCCTGTGGTCTTTGGATGAAGGACAGTATATCAATTTAATAAATAAAAGAAGATAATAGTGGCTGTTAACAAGTGTGTTACCAGTTCCGTAGCAACAGATAAGACCAAGTCTGTAACATTTCCAAACAATATGACCAGTGGGTCACCACATCCTGTCATATTTTCTTTGTTTACATCAGCTTTGTTACTATATATATAGTAAGCCAAAAGCACCAGCCTGAAGATGACGAGTGAGACCTCGTCGAAACGTCGCCTAGACACCCCAACTTTTACACGGGAAGACACCCGAGGACACCAAAACCTGCATTCCTGTACCCGTGAAAATCTACGAAAGCATATATATATATATATATATATATATACACACACACACATACATACACACACACACACACACACACACACACACAGTGGTACCTCTAGTTACAAACTTAGTTCCAGAGGTCCGTTCTTAACTTGAAACTGTTCTTAACTAGAGGCATGCTTTCGCTAATGGGGCCTCTTGCTGCTGCTGCGCTGCTAGCACACGATTTCCATTCTCATCCTGGGGCAAAGTTCTCAGCTCGAGGTACCTCTTCCAGGTTAGCGGAGTTTGTAACCTGAAGCGTTTGTAACCTGAGGCGTTGCTGTTATGAATGAAAATAAATTTCAATAAAAAAGATGCAGCAACAATGGTCTTGTGGTACCATAAACACTGACACACTTACTGTGACATAAGCTTTGCCAGATGCCCATTTTCTGACCCATGAAAGCTTACACTGTTTGCCAATCTTCAGGGTGCCATGGAAGTCTTAATCTGTTGCAGCAAAATCAACAAGCGCCGCTGCTTTCTGCTGTTCCAGCCTGTTGAGTGGGCACGTAGCCTTGGCTTTATCTTTGCCGCTTTTCTCTGCTTGCTTCACCATACCCCTCTCTTTCTCCACTTTCTCTGTTGTTTCCTATGTGTCCCAATTTCAGATTGTAAGCTCCTAGGAACAGCGACCTGTCCTCTTGCATTCTGTAAAGTGTCAGGCACATTGTGTTACCCTTTCAAATATGGGGTGCATATGCTCACAGAATAAATGAAAGATTTGGACCTGTATCAGGCTTTCAGATAAATGTTCATTGTGTTTTAGGTAGAAATTGACCCGAAATGCTTCTTGTCAATGTGTCCATGTCCCACATGTGGAACCTAAAGAATTATAGCTAACAAAGTTATCTCAGTCCCTGAATATTTAACACAACATAGAGGGAAACGCCATAAATTTGTGCTAATAGTTTTTTTCTGTTTAGGAAGGTGTATCATTCTGGTACTCTATGCACAATCAGAAGCCGTCTGCTGAATAGACCAACAGCAACATGCGCACACACATTGGGAGAGAGGGAGAATTGTGAAACATTGTCACATGAACCTAAAACCACCTTTCAATATGGCTAGTTCTAACCGGGGACCACAATTCAAATATGTTGTTCCTTTTAGGCAAGTTACCACCACCTCTCTACTCCTGCCTCTGCCACCTGCTCTGTCACTGCTGCACACCCTGCCACCCCCACTGCTGGCAGAGAAGTGCCACCACCATCAGCACTGATTTTGGGCAAGATCGTGCTGATTTTGGGCGAGATTTCACCCCAAAACTCATTAGGCATTGTGCGCTCTGCAAGCTCTTGTATGATTTCAGGCAAAATCTTGCCCCAAATCAGCACTGCTGGCGGCACATCTCTGCCACTGGTGGAGGCAGTGGGGCACTTTGGGGCATGATGTTTGTAGGGCTTCTGCCGCCTGAAGCAGCTGCCCTACCATACCTAACAGTAGGCTCTGCTTGGCTGTAACATTTCTGCAGCAAGAGTAGGTAATTGACACATCTTCAACCATTAGTTAAAGTAAAAAGTTTTCACAGCTTGATGCAGGCTTTAAAAGTTTTTGAAACATGGTTAGGAGCAAGGAGCTTGCTGAAGATTAAAACAAAAAACATGAACCTTTCATGATAAGAGGTTAAAAATCAGCCTGTTTGGGGCACTATGCTTCTTTTTAAACAAAATTGTCACTTGGCTGCCAGCAGTTCATAGCGTGCATTGCAGACTTTGGTCTTCACGATTACAGTACCATAATTTACAAGAACAGGAGACTGGTATAAGGGAATTATTTTATTTAGGGGGGGGGAAATGGTAACCTTCATTTTCACCATAAATCCTGAAGGATTGCTACAATCGCATCTATAAAAGAGTGAGCTATGAGATCCAATAAAATGAATTAGTAATGAAATAAAATGCCCATCTCTCAAGGACCGATTGAATACTGTTAGATGTTCTCAAGGTGTGTTCATTGAGTTATACTTCTTTCTAATTAGCACCCTTTCTGTCAGGTTACTAACACCTTCTTACAGCTCATTGAAAATCAGAAATGCCAATGATAATGCTCACTTTCTGAAAACTTTAAAGATATCTTAATGTAAGTGAAAGGCAGTAGAATTAGCACCCATAGAAATGGCTTTTGAAAAAGGATTCCAATATTGGTGAATCATTAGAGCAAAATCTTTTTTACCATTCTTACCATACTTGGACCCTAACACTGTAATCGTATTCATGTTTGCTCAGAACTAAGTCCTATTGAGTTTAGTAGGACGTACTTCCAGTTAATTGTGCATAGAATTGCAGCCTGAATTCCAGACAATTTGAAAATATATTTCTAGATGTTTAGCTCACCTTCCAGTGGTGATATCAAACAAACCCTGTCATGGATTGGAAACAAAAATACTTGTTTTCATATGCATAATATCGCTGAGCAAGGGATCACACTTCTTCAATAGGTGTTAAGCAATTGTAAATGGAAACATATGCGAAATATATTTTCTAAGTGCTCAGGAAGAAGGTTGACGCTTAAAGTGGGTAGTTGCTGACCTAAATAGTTCATAAAATAGTTCCCGCTCTCATTTTCTTGAAACTCTCTTCCTTATTTGGGTGCTACTGCTTTGTTTGTCTCTCTCAACATTTTTTTGTGTTTTTTTTTAAACAGTATAGGGTTGTGAATATATAAATCAGCAGTCTTTTAAAAAAATAGGCCAGGAATCAGATGTCTAACACAAATCCCTTGAGTGTTTTTTGTTACTTTGCATTGCCAATGAATATAACAGTTTCTTTTCTTGAGATGAAACTAAGGCAGCAAGCTCTTAATTATTCAGAGACTCTTTCCCCTTCAAATCATAAAATTGTAGCGTTGGAATGGACCGCGAGGGTCATTTAGTTCAACCCCCTGCAATGCAGAAATCTCAACTGAAGCAACTGAAGCATCCATGACAGATGACCATCCAGCCTCTGCTTAAAAACCTCTGGAAGGAGAGTCCACCACCTCCCAATGGAGACCGTTCCACTTTTGAACAGCTCTTACTATCAGCAAGTTCTTCCAGATCTTTAGTCGGAATCTCCTTCCTTGTAACTTGAATCCATTAATTCGGGTCCTAGCCTCCAGAGCAGGAAAAAACAAGCTTGCTCCATTTTCCACATGACAACCCTTTAGATCAGCCTTTCTCAACCTGCGGGTCCCCAGATGTTGTTGGACTACAACTCCCATCACCCCTAGCTAGCAAGGGCAGAGCTCAGGGATGATGGGAGTTGGAGTCCACCAACATCTGGGGACCCGCAGGTTGATAACCGCTGCTTTAGATATTTCATAATGGCTATCATATATTTTCCAAGTTAAACATACCCAATTCCCTCAACTGTTCCTCATAAGGCTTGGTTTCCATACCCTTTCTCATCTTGTTTGCCTTCATCTGCACACCTTCCAGCTTGTCAATATTCTTCTTAAATTGTGGTGCCCAGAATTGGACAAAGTACTCTAGGTGTGTGTCAGGGAACTGCCATCGGAGGAACAGGTGGTGGAAGGGCTCACGGAGGCTGGGAGAGACCCAGCAGCTGAAGCAGGAACCAGCAGGGGGAGAGGTGGGTCTCTGAGGGAAAGCGAGCAAGAGGGAGGGCTCAGGGATACGTCCAGCGAGAGCAGTGGGGAGGTTTCTGAACCTCCCATAGGGAGACCCACTCCTCGCCGGAAACTGTCACGCCGCGAGTCCAGAAGACGTGTTTCCGTTAAGGAGCTTTTATGCTGGAAGCGATTCCGAAAGCAACCACTGTCGGAATCTGCAAGTGACTAGAGCAGCCATGTCTGAGGGGCTCTGTCACAGACAGAGGTTTGTGGGCTTGAACAAACTCTGAGGGACTACGATTTTACGCACAAGCAGCTCATCATCCCATCACAGTGTGGTCTGACCAAGGCAAAATAGAGTGGTATTGGGACACCTTACTTTGGTTGATGCAGCCTAGAATAGCATTAACCTCCCCCCCCCCCCCGCTGCACCACACTGTTGATTCATGTTAAGCTTGTGGTTTACTAAGACCCCTAGATAGATCCTTTTCACATGTACTATTAGCAAGCCAGGTGTCCCATATCTTATATTTGTGTATCTGGTTCTTCATTTTGTTAGTTTGGGCCCAGTTCTGCAATCTGTTATGGTCATATTGTATCCCAATTTCTGCCTTCTGTGGCATTTGCTACCCCTCCCAGTTTGGTGTCATCTACAAATTTGATGAGCATCCACTTAATACCTTTAGGCCCAAGACAAAATGTGGCACCCCACTTTTTCACTTTTTTCTAGAATGATGAGGAACCATTAGTGAGTGCATGTCTGATTACCCTTAGCATTCTCTTGTCTGTGTATAATAATAATAAATAATAATAAATTTTATTTATACCCCGCCCTCCCCAGCCAAGGCCGGGCTCAGGCTGGCTAACAAGCAATAATAAAAACAAGTTGAATGAATACAACTTAAAAACAAGATTAAAATATAACATTGAAACATTAAAATGCAGCCTCATCACAGGAGGAGAAAGGAAAAAGGAAAGAGGGGGAGGGAATCAAATTGACTCCAATGAAACCCAAGAGAACATGATCACTTCCTCCCAAGGTTCCCAGTACTTTCACTTCGTTGATCCATTCTTCTCTGTTATTGAGAAACAAGTCCAAGAGAAAAAAACCCCTTGTTGCTTCTTCCACCTTCTGTTTCCAATATCTCCCAATTGTTGATAGTGATTGACTATGCAGACAAATCACATGTAGTTAAGGGCTTTGCTCAGGTAACTGAATACAAATATGAGTTAAAAGTATCTCCAACACAATGGGGTAAGGCTTATTTTACCTTTTCTGCATGGCGTACTAAAGCCATCATAGGATGAAAATGATGTGATAGTCTGTTTCGGGTTCCACTACCTGGTGATGCATTCATGTTATTTTAGGAGGGGTGGGCCTCCTAAAATAGGGACCCCAACTCCCATCATCTTCAGTCAGCATAAACATTGGTGAGGGGAAATCTAATCCAGCCACATCTGGAGGGTGGTAGGTGCCACACACCACTAATGTGGTGCATTGCTTTTTACTTTATTCCAATGGCCACCTGTAAGTTGCTTTAAGAGTGCTTGCTATAAAGTAGGACAAATAGCTTTTTAAGTAAGATATTTGATCTATTAAATGGTTTATGATTATGATTACACCAACAGGGTGCACAGTGCGGCACCAAACAACTGCAAAAAGACAGGGCCACTCGATAACGTCTTCTGCAGATTATAGTTAAGTGGAAGGTTATAAATGCACCCCCAGGGACTTGCATGTGTGTGCCTGCTTTGGATTGCTTAACGTGACGTTGTTGAATTTTTGTGCTTGCAGTGTTGCATGGGAGCCGATGGGAGATGGCAAAAGATTAATTTCTCTGGCTGATAATCACTTGCTTCTGTGGGATTTGCAAGAAAGCTCAAGCAAGGCAGTGGTAAGGAGTGTCACAATTTACAACGAGGCCTCATTTTGTGTGTGGTGGCATTACTTTTCTGTACGTTTGTTTAATTGATAAGCAAGTTGCTAACATATTTAAACTGTATTCCAAGCAGCAGTGTGTGTGTGTCTGTTGCTTTTCAAAGGAAAGTAAGTGTTTTAATACGTGGTGAGGAAAATCTTTCGACAGCCATGAAACAATCTTCAGAAACCGCACATTATTTGCACCCACAGAAGAACAGTCATGATTCTTCCTGTGTGAAGCCTTTGTTCATCCTTTTTGGCCTACGTCTCCCCTCTCCCCCCCATGTTGGTCAACCAGCCGGTTCCTTTTTGGCTGTTGCCATCCGTGTTCCCTCGAATTGACCAATATTCTACTCACTGCCTCCCTCGCCAACAGTTGGCCAACTCTTTCTAGAGCAAAGTCTGTTTGCATGCTGTGATCAACATTCTTGTCTGATTGAAGTGTCAGGTTTTTACAGACATGCTTAGCATTTCCTCCTTCTCCTCTTGCTCCCCCTGGGCTGCTCTGCCTCGCCTTGCTTTAAGGTTCTTTGAATGTTAATTAGGCTTTTCACTGTCCTAGGCAGTCTCTTTCGTTCATAATCTCAAAGTTACCATATTTCTCCTTAATTCCAATCTGTATCAAATATAAGCATTTCCTTTGGGAAGTTCTCCAGTCTGTCACAAGTCATACCACTTAATGGAAAGGGAATTTTCCTACTGAGCGACGAGTTCTTGGGCTCTCTCATTTACTTCGCTGGAATTTAGCTACAGAAATTCATCACTGTCGCATGCCTTTCATTAGCTGAGCTATTCCTCCAAATAAACATTGTCCACATTAACTCTTTCCTTGACTATGTTTGCACGTGTCTAGGCAGTTGCTTTCTCTGTCAGTTGAGCTGTGGGCACTATACCATTATTTTTAAATAAAAAAAGGAACATTGCTCCAAAGTTACCCAGGTTCTATGCTGTGGACAGCGGACTTGTGACATTAAATAATTATGCAAATTAAGGTGATTTGCATGCATCTGGTTGTTCTGCATAATTCCTGCTCAGCTAATCATGAAGATGGGTGAAGATCTCTGTAGGGATACCTTCTAGTCATTGGACATTCTACCCAAACCACTACCACCCTGCTCCAGTTTATGAGTCACCTCAGGCATTTCCGGCATGTTCTTTTCCAAAATTAGCTTCACAAACAAAGAGTAGAAACTTTTCTCTTACTATTGCTCCCTACAGGTGTTCTGAAACTACATATAAAGGGGGAGGGGACAAATAGATTTTTAAGTAAGATATTTGATCTAATAAATGGTTTGTGATTATGATTACACCAATAGGGTGCACAGTGCAGCACCAAACAACTGGGATTTAAAGAGGAAGGAACTCTGATGGGATGGGGAAGGAGGCCATTTGATGAGGTACCAGGGGCTGCATAAAATGAGGTTGGAGGCCACAGGCTGGTCACCTGTATTGTTAAGGAATACAGGTGTTTCAGGTCCTGTTTGTGTTCTAGGAAATGGAGCACAATCATCAGCTTGATACATTTTCCTTCATTTGTGCTTAGGGGCTATTCCATATTCGTGAACCTGTTCAGAAGAGGTGATGGTCCCTGAGACACAGTAGGAAAGGGGAGATTGGGAGCAGAGCCTAGAATTGTGTCTCTGCTTGCACTGGAAAGAGAAGATCGAGTGGATTGTAAAGAACTGTTTATTTGAATGTGGGATTTCCCTGAGCTATAAGATGGGTTTTTAAAAATGGTGTACGTGTTGCTGTAACCTTCTGTGTATGTAGGCTTATCCTAGCAATATCTGAAAAGACCCAGCATTGAGAGAGGTAGCACAGGTGATCTTTTGACCAAATTCATCCATTTATCTGTAAGGGTTCCTCTCTCTTTTCTTTTTTTTCAAAGGTGATAATGAATTACCTTGTGAAATGTTATGAAATAAATAAATAAATAATTTTTTTATCTTATCCATCAATAATTGACAAACGTCGTTGTCTGTGCTAGGTAGAACCAAGTGTAAACTCGCCAACAAGTCAGTGAGGCATGTTACGAAATGAATATTATCGTACGACACATGAATAATTCCCTGTTTTAAGTTTCAAGCTGTTCTGCTTGTTGCCTCTGAAGTGAGTTGCTCTGTACAGCTAGAGAGGCATTTCACACGAGAGTCACTCACTTGAGTTGTTTCTAACTCGCAGCTGTCAAATTCCGTCGCCTTGGAAGGAAAGGGACAGCTAAAGTTTACCTCCGGACGATGGAGTCCCCACCATAATTGCACTCAGGTTGCGACAGCAAACGACACTGCCATTCGAGGATGGGATATACGCACTATGACGTAAGGAGTGTGGTTTCTTCTTTCTGTCTATATCTGTATCTGTATAAAAGCTGTGTCTTTGTGGAAAGTTACTCTTCCAGCAGTGATTTATTTTTTTTAAAGCAGGCTTCAAAAGTAGTCATTTCACTAGTTTACATGTCTAGTTTAGACGTCTGCCAGGGATTCAATAAGCTATAAAAGGAAAGGTAAAGGGACCCCTGACCATTAGATCCAGTCGTGACCGACTGCGGCGCTCATCTTGCTCTACTGGCCGAGGGAGCCGGCATACAGCTTCCAGGTCATGTGGGCAGCATGACTAAGCCGCTTCTGGCAAACCAGAGCAGCGCACGGAAACGCTGTTTACCTTCCCACCAGAGTGGTACCTATTTATCTACTTGCACTTCATGCTTTCGAACTGCTAGGTTGGCAGGAGCAGGGAGTGAGCAACGGGAGCTCACCCCGTTGCGGGGATTCGAACCGCCGACCTTCTGATCAGCAAGTCCTAGGCTCTGTGGTTTAACCCACAGCGCCACCTGTATCCCTTCAATAAGCTATAGCAGTAGCCTAAAGGATCCCTTTTCTTCACATCCAGTATGTACGTGTCAGGGCTGCCTCAGGTCCCAGCTCACAAGAGACCAACGCCAAGTCCAGTTTATATACAAAGATGTTTATTGCAGTTCATTGTTCGCTCCACAGCCGAGGCGCGCAGCCCCACGTCTGTTACGCTTAGACCGCTGAAGTCCCCTCTGAGTCAGTCCCTCCCCTGCACCAGTTTAAGAGGCTTGAGCTGCTCCACCTCTTCCTTTCCTTCCTTTTCCGCAGGGTCTTCCTGCCCCCTGGGGTTTCGCTCCTCCTTGATTCCCCTGACGCGGAATCCCCAGACAGCTCTTCCCCCCTCCTGCGGGCTTTGGGACCTGGCTCCTCCTCCAGGCTCCCTGTTCTTCCGCGCGCCTCCACATTTGAACTTGGCGCGCGTTCGCAACCTCTAACCTTCCTCTTGACAGTTACACTACTCCCTGCACTACTCCCCTCCCCTTCCGGGAGGATGTCTTGCTCCGACCTTCCCCCCTTCTCTGCTGTCGGAGCTGCTTCCCCTGTCACACTGGAATCTCCACCCCCTTCCCTGCGCTCTGGCGGGGAAGCCGGTCCCGACTCCCAGCTCCCACTTTGGGATCCCCTGCTGGTCCCCTGCTCCTGACGAGTCCCCCCTGTGACTCCCCTTGGCCTGACCACAGGCGCCCCCTTCTGGGAATCCTCCGATTCACTTGAAAGACTCATGGAATCCCTTGAGTCATTGTCATCCTCTTCCTCGCTGTCCTGGGATTCTTCCCCATCGCTCTCCGTCTCCTCCCTCCCCTGTGCCTCTGTCCCTGAACCCCTGACAGTACGGTATGTGAAAATCCTGCTGTTATTAAGCTACTGATAAAAAAAACCACCCCATTCATTTAAAATAGAGCTAGGTGTGGATGTTTTTAGAGCCGAGGTGGGGAAACGTTGGCTTTCCAGATGTTGTTGCTCTCCAGCTCCAATGGTCATGAATGGTCATGGCCAATGGTCATGAATGATCATGATGGAGGGCAACAGCTTCCCCATTCCTATTTTAGAATGTGCCAATGCCATTGAACTCAGCAGTCCAGTCCAGAGCAGAGCGACTTAAGTTTCCATTCTGGACTGTTACTTTAAAGCTGGCTGACTCTGGTATACTAATGACGCTTTCTTTTTCAAATTTTAGAGGGGTTTTTTAGGGGCGGGCTGGAGGGGGAGATTAGCTAGGTCTGGAGTTTGCTCTGCTTTGTTTGAGGAGGTATGAATTTTAGGTTTCCATTTGATTTTGACAGTATCTTTAGAGATAATGCAGCAGCAGTTTCCAATCTATTGACAGTCAGTTGCCTGGCACAACGGTGCTTAGTATTGGGGCCACAACGTATCAAAATTTTTGAATGCCAACAAACCTAAAGCTTCAATATAAGAAATATAGGACTCCTTTCCTGCTCTAGTTGTAATTTTGATAAGCAAAGGAGTGATGTTGTGCACATCTGTTGCCATGACAACAGAAGTCTGTGCAAGCTTTTTTAAGATACAGCTTATCCCCTTAGCACACAGTAATTTATCACTAGCCTCGGAAGACGGATGTCTTGTAATAACTTCTGCTGCCTTAAAGGGGGAGATGACTTTAAATTTGGTTTTATGTCTCCCGTGTGCTCATGGGTGCAGCACTATATTTCCATTGTTTCCAATTACATTCCTTTATACCCCAAAACTGATTAATTTGATTAGGAAAAGTTAAAAATATGTATTTAAATGCTTATAGTAATTCTCTCACTTTCCTCTTCCGTTTTCTACAAGAATATGGGTTAAAACCTGACTTTGGGCTTCTACACTAGATCAGTATAAATTGCAATTGGACTCATGGCATGGCACCAGAAAAGTTCACAAATGTGTGTGCTCAAAGCTGATCATAGTGAGTTGAAGAGAAGCATTGTCTCTCTTAGCTTAATTTTACCTCAAAGGCTTTGCTGGACTAGAAAAGAAGCTTGAAACACATAAGGGACATAAGGCTGTGTTTGGAACACCCTAAACCAAAGTTGAAGCTAGATGGGGTGTGTACATTTTTGGCGGTGGGTGACACATTACTAGCAGCTGAGCAGAAGGCGCTGCCTCCATTGCTGCGCCTACTCTTGCTTTTGACTCCACCTACTGGAACCTCAGAAGGTTGTCCATGTGGGAATATGACCTTTGGGTTCAAATTGATTTCCTGACCCTCCAGGAAATCATGGTTCCTGCCTCCCTCTTGTCTCGTCTGCTACACCAAGGCCCGTTTAGCTTCTGGACTCCTGTAGCTACAAAGTGGTGACAGATTATAGCAGGGCTCGCCAGCCTTTTTTGAGCTGGGAGCCCATTTGGAAATCTGAGATACTCTCATGGGCGCCACAAAATGCTCTTATCCCTTTCCCCATGTTATACACCTGGTCATATGCTGAGATTTCCAGATGGGAACCGTATGGTTGTGCCACAGCCTGCTGAGATTCATCTTGCAACGTATGGGGGGAGGGCCTTATCTGTTGCGGCACCCAGTTTGTGGAATCCTCTTCCCTCCAAAATGAGGCAAGCCCTGACTTGATCAAGTTTTTGACCGCTGCTTAGAGACCATTTTATTCACCCAGGAATTTGCTGTTTATTCATGCTGAGTTTTTAGTAGAATCACTGTTTCTACGGTGATTTTTATGTTTCGTTACATTTTAATATGCATTGTTGTGAACTGCCCTGGTATTACCCAATGAAGGGGAATATAAATGTATAAATATGCAAATACACAAATAGATGAATGAATTTCAGAGAAGAAAATGTGGTGGCACTGTTTTAAGCAGATGGTCTCATGACCAGACAATAGTAGGCAGTGCGGTCTACAATATACATTTCTTCACATTCGTTTGGAATATATTGCCTGCAAAACTTAAGGCATGCCCACAGCAGTTGTTTGTTTCTGGCTACATGCTCTTTGATGGCACATATTCCAAGAGCTGGAAGTTGAGGGGAAAAGACATAACCAAGCTAATGGTAAAGTAATTATTGAACAATATGCTTATTTAGAGTCCGGGCCTGTAAGAGGTAGCTGTATGCAGTCCCTGTTCTGCCTTAAATTCACTGTGGTACACCTCTGCCTTTTATCATATGTGGGTGGTGATTTGTGAGCTCACTAGAGCACCCCAAATTTTCTTATGTGGAAGGTGGGCTTTGGCACTGGTATGAATCTCAGCGATGCTGCTGATGTGTTAGAGGACAAGATGGTGGCTTGATTCTAACGACAAGGCAGATGTTTCCCAGCACCAGCTGCCTGTGTGGCATTGGAGGTGATGCTGGTATGTGTGTGTGTGTGTGTGTGTGTGAGAGAGAGAGAGAGAGAGAGAATGAGAATGAGAATGAGTATGAGTATGAGTGACTGAAGCACCACTGTAACTATCTGTACATGTGCTGTGATGCCCTAAATCCGGTCTACTTGCCCCAGAATAACCTGGCTATTCACAGACATACCGTTCTAACCCCAGAAGTAATTTCAAAAGAGCAGAGCTGATATGCCAGCACTTGGCACCAAAGCAAACGCAGCAAGTTGCTGTTGTCCTAAATTGAAGCAAATTAATTTGCAGTGCAAACATGCCCCTTGTTTTCTATTAGCACTGTGGCTGGGCTTCGCTATTTGCCTTTTCTTGATGTGCCTCTTTTTTTCTTTCCACCCCTTTCCTCCTGCAGTCAAATATATTGTATAGAAAATGCTCATGGACAGCTGGTGAGGGACCTAGATTTTAATCCCAACAAACAGTACTATCTGGCTAGCTGCGGAGATGACTGCAAGGTGAAATTCTGGGACACCAGAAACGTCAGTGAGCCAGTGAAGACACTGGAAGAGCATTCCCACTGGTAAAGTGAATTTATTTGGGTGAAGGATTTGTCAAATTGAATCTGCTAATTGTTCTTTTCTGAAAACCATGCAAACAAGTTCAGCTGGTGCTGCAGATAATTTTTTTCTTTCTTTCCTCTAAGCAGAATACAGATATTTTTAATATTTTAAAAGCTAGCAAATGTTGATTTGTTTTCTAGGAAGGTATTGTCCGTACTGTAAAATAGTTTTAATGTGTTTCTACAGCAGAGATTAATGATTCCCTTTTGTTGAAGATTAATGTAGAAAGATTTCTATATAGCCAAGAGACAGAGTGTTGTTCAGATTTCATAGATTTTAGGGTGGCAGCATCTGCGGCAAAATAATTCTGGGCCCTGAAGCAACTTCAGCACTGGCATCGAAGAGGCAACTTTGTGGAAACATCTTTATTTACTGAGGAGATTATTAAGCCATTAGAACAACAGAAAATCTGGAGACATTTGGTATTAACATGATATTCGAGAGCTCAGTTAATAGCGTTAATCCTCCCTTTGTCTTATGGACTATTTTAACCATACCCAGCACAGATTTGGGGTAACTTTGGGCTCAATTTATCACATTAATAAATAATCCATGTTCTGCTTATGGGGGAGTGCTTTGTCTTCGGAATATCTGCATGCTGTGTTTAAACAATAAGCAAAAACTTCCATTGCAGGATTTGGGCTTTTGGGTCTCCCCCTCCTTACAACTTGTTGGTCGGCTCTGTAAAGAACTGGCCTTGCAAAATGAAATAAAAAGTTTTTAAAAGTAGGAGCAAAAGATAAGGCTTTTGTTAATCCCCCTCCTAGGCTTCATCCAGGTATTGACGTGAATTGCTTTTGCTGTTTGCCTCCAGGGCAAGTGCAGTGCATTAATGCCCAGTTGCCCAGTCCCAGACAGAAATAACATTGTAGAGCTATTGCTGTGCTTACCCAATACATCAGGAAAGGCAGCAATGCTATCCGGCCCAGGAAAAAGAACAGCGTGTGTTTATTTCTCTAGGCTGGTAGGAGCAGAGAGTTACATTGGACTGAAATGCAGCCCTTCCATGAACAAAAGGAGTTACTCTATTTTGGGAAAGGATTTGATCCATAGGGTCTTCCATTCACAGTATGGGGAGGAAGGGAGGTCGGAGAGATGACTTGCTGATAGCCACTCCCCTTGTCGCCAGCAGGAGCATTCCAGATCTCTCACAGATCTCTGGATCCAGTCCAGTGGTTTTGGGACAAGCAACTGGGCTGACATTGTACTACAAGCTGGAGTTGCACTTCTCGGATTAGCACAGCCAGTGTATTCAGCTTACTGATGCTCAAGTACAGAGATAGGAAACCTGTGGCCCTCAGATATTGCTGGACTCCAACTCCCATCACCCCTAAACTTTGGCCATGCTCGCTGGGGCTGATGGGAGTTGGAGTCTAGGGGATTGCCACTATCCCATCCTTGCAACCTGTGCCTCTGATTCTCAACACGGTTCCTAAGCACTTTATTAGAGAGGCAATATCAGTGGCATTTTATTGTTGCTGTTCAAAGCTCACTATATGTCTTTCACCCCATGACTGAAACATCCCATACATGTTTTTCGGTTCCATTGGACAATAGCCAGTATTTTTACACCGTGAACACAATTCTCCTTCCAAACACAGAAGTTCCTTCTATTCGTGGAGTAGAAAAGTTGGTATACTGTCCACAGCCTTCAATATCTAGACTTGTTTGATAGCAGGTAATAGATTTGTGGGACGTGGGTGGCGCTGTGGGTAAAAGCCTCAGCGCCTAGGGCTTGCCGATCGAAAGGTCGGCGGTTCGAATCCCCGCGGCGGGGTGCGCTCCCGCTGCTCGGTCCCAGCGCCTGCCAACCTAGCAGTTCGAAAGCACCCCCGGGTGCAAGTAGATAAATAGGGACCGCTTACTAGCAGGAAGGTAAACGGCGTTCCGTGTGCTGCGCTGGCTCGCCAGATGCAGCTTGTCAGGCTGGCCACGTGACCCGGAAGTGTCTTCGGACAGCGCTGGCCCCCGGCCTATAGAGTGAGATGGGCGCACAACCCTAGAGTCTGTCAAGACTGGCCCGTACGGGCAGGGGTACCTTTACCTTTACCTTAATAGATTTCAGCAATCCATCGATGGAAACTGACTTGTCATTTTGAAAGCTGTACAACATGCTTATATCTGCGTCCTTTAGGTAGTGGTTCAACTGTTTGATTCTGTGGTGGGGTTGATGTTTTTAGGGTCTGGAACGTCCGCTACAATCATTCCCATGACCAATTAGTGCTGACAGGCAGCAGTGACAGCAGAGTCATCCTTTCCAACATGGTATCCATTTCTTCTGAACCTTTTGGGCACCTGGTCGATGATGATGAACTTAGCGACCAGGAAGACCATCAGGAGGACAAGTAAGAAAACACTTTGCTCTTAATTAACAGACATAACATTTTATGTGAGGTCTTGTGGTCACTTAGTTTGATGAAATGTTCTTTACTGATTGTAGGGTTTTTGTGTACACACCTAAACGGTAAGTAGCTCAACCTCTGAATTCATTAGCTTTCGTACGGTTGTGGACTGGCACTTTTCTTGAGGTTCAATTCCCCCCCCCCCCACTTTCTGAAGTCATATGGTAGCACTGGCTTGGAACTAAAGCCCATGGAAGTCAAAAGGAGGCAAATGGCTTCCATGGGCCTGCATATTACACAGGAGGGAGAAAGGTTTTTCGTTTTCCATGGAATTGTTTCTTTGTGATGTGGGTTGGATGGGCATTTCAGGAGAAGCGCAAATTGTATTTCTGCGCCAGCTAAAATACTGGTGGCCTATTGAGAAACTGGCACTGACATTAAAACCACACAAAAATATTTCAGTGGGCTTCTGATGCTTCTTTTTGCACTGCTCTGAGGACTCCTGGGATTTTTGGGTAGCATGGGTGTGCATGTTTAGAACTGGAGAAGGGTGCCAGCATTTCCCATTTTAAGTCACTAATGCACCCCAAGTGTGTGTGTGTGTGTGTGTGTGTGTGTGTGTGTGTGTTTGTGTAATCAATTTATGGAGAGTGTCACTTCCTGACTTTATTATTAGCAACTACACAATATTAGCAAAACGCAATGTTTGTTTAGAGAAGCTTCATTCTAAGCTATTTAATAGTTTCCTCCCAGTTCTATAAAAACGACAGACATCTTAATCTCTTCAAAAGAATATGTGCAGATGTAAAATGCGTAGGGGGACATGTGTGTGACCCCCTCCCCCAGTTTCCAGTGGTGCACCCACTCCATCCCAACCTTTCTATCTGAGCAAGAAAGCCTGAAGAGGATTTCCAACTGCATTTGGCTGATAATACAGCCTTCCTCATCATGGGTGGCTTCTAAGCATGTTTGGCCACACACATGCCAACCCTCCCTTCAGACCTTTCCCCTCAGCATGGAAAGGTTGGGGGCAGAGTGGATGGGGATGTTGGGAGTGGAGGTTAAAAAAGAAGAAGTAAAGGACTCCTGGATGGTTAAGTCCAGTCAAAGGTGACTATGGGGTACAGCACTCATCTCGCTTTCAGGCTGAGGGAGCCGGCATTTGTCCACAGACAGCTTTCCGGGTCATGTGGCCAGCATGACTAAACCACTTCTGGCACAACGGGTCACCGTTGACGAGTGCCAGAGTGCACAGAAACGCTGTTTACCTTCTCGCCACAGCGGTGCCTATTTATTTACTCGCACTGGTGTGCTTTTGAACTGCTAGGATGGAGGAAGCTGGGACAGAGCAACGGGAGCTCACCCTGTTGGGTGGATTCAAACTACCAACCTTCCGATCAGCAAGCCCAAGAGGCTCAGGGGTTTAGACCACAGTGCCACCCACGTGGGGGTGGAGCAGGGACTTTGTGCCCACACAAATTATTTTGAATGCATGAAGGAGGCTTGTGCATCTCCCAGCTTGTTGCTTATGTTTTATAAAATAGGACTCCCCCCCCCCCCGTCTCTTGCCATTTTTAAACACCCCACTTCTCTCCTGTTCAGCCATGGATATGGTAAACAATTGTTCTCCTCTCATTTCTCATAGGCTTTTAAATAATGGAAATCTACTGCTGCATCCACCACCTCCTTCTTGCTCACTATCCTAAACCTGTTTCTTTAGACTTTCTTCATGTCGTTTACCTTCCACAGACCCATTGTCATCCTTGTGGTTTCCCTGTGAATCCTTTCCAAATTGTCAACCACCTCCTTGAACTGCCGCTCTCCTCCAAACTGCAGTACTTCAGATGATGCTTAACTAGCGATAAGCGGAGCAATGTTATCAGCCTTGGGAAGCAACGCTTCTGTCATAGCTGCACAAATAGAATAGCATTGGCCTTTTGTGCTGCAGCATCACATTTTTGACACGCTTGGTTCATTATCCACCCTTAAGCGCTAACTCTTTCTCAGAAGCGCAGCTTCCTAGGCAGTCATCTTTTCTTCTTGAACGTTTGGATCATCTTTGCTGCGGTGACATTTAACATCTTTTCATGTTGGCTGCCTCCTTGTAGCCATTCCAGCTCTCCAGCTGATGGAGCTAGTTCTTATCTTTTAGTCTGTTCTCCAGGAGCTTTGCAGCCCCTCCCAGATTTTAAGCCATTCATTGATGGAAGAGTTAGTTATTTGTGGCATTCATAGCCCACTGTTCCTCCAAATTTTGTTTAGCAACAGTAAAATATGTAATTCCGAAGACATAAAATAAGGCAATTCATGATCTATCAAATAAACATGTTTTGTTTATTTGGTCACCAGAGAAGAGGCGAGATGGACCTCCTTTAGGAAGACACCCTGGAGCCTGGAGTAGCTGCTTTAAAAAAATCCTCTCTTGATTGCCTGCCAACTGCACTCCAGGTATTGGCAAGACACACGCAAAAAGCACTCCCCAATTATTTTTAAAACTCGGTGGGTTCGTATGTTTCAAATACTCCGTCCCCAAGTTGTGTTGGGCTTCTTTTAAAAAAATGCTTTTTACTGGTGTTTCACTTAATACAAACAAACAAAATACAGTAAAATTCAACAATCATTTACCCACATTCTTTCCCCACACTCTGCTGAGCATTGACTTCCTTCCCTCCCTTCAAGAGGTTTTCTTATGTCAGTTACTTTTCCACAGTTTCTTATTGTATCCAATCCTATCTACATCGTAAGATTTATTTCAGTCCTGCCAGAGTCTTCAGATTTCTACAGTTATTATTTATGTACTCCATAAATTTATTCCAATCTTTTTGGAATTTTGCTTCTTCCTGATTTCGGATTCTACAGGTCAATTTTGCTAGTTCTGCATAATCAACCATCTTCGTCTGCCACTCTTCTATTGTTGGTAATTCTGGTACTTTCCATTTTTGGGCTAACAAAGTTCTGGCAGCAGTCATAGCATAAATAAATAAATAAATAACCTTTGATCTGCTTTTTCTATTTCCTCTCCCATCAAGCCTAGCAAGAAAGCTTCCGGCTTTTTCGGGAAAGTGTATTTAAATATCTTTTTCAATTCGTTATAAATCTGTTCCCAAAACTGTTTCATTTTCTCACATGTCCACCACATGTGATAAAAATCCCCATCTTTATCTGTGCATTTCCAACGTGTCTTACTACTCATCCTGTACATTCTCACCAGTTTAACAGGTGTCAGATATCAGCGATACAACATTTTCATTATATTCTCCCTTAAGGTGGTACATGCTGTAAATTTTATACTCTCATTCCACAGTTTTACCCAGGCATTATACTCAATGTAATACCCCAAAATCCATTATCCATGGGTTTTAAGTTGTGTTGGGCTTTGAACATCCTAACCAGCTCTTTGAATTGGGCCCAGAAACAGACAGTCAGCCAGCGAAGGTTTTTAACATGGGAATCACAAGTTTCCTATCACCAGTATTGTCCACAGTCTGGCTGCAGCATTATGAACCAGTTGCAGTTTCCATGCAGTCCCCAAAGGTAGCTCCGAGTGAAGTGTACTATGGCAGTCTAAATGACATATAAGTGGGACATGGGATGCCATGGCCAAATCTGGCATCTCCAGGAACAGACAAAGTTGTTGCACTAAGTTTAGCTCTGCAAATGCATTCCTGGACACAACCAAAACCAGGACATCCAGGTTCAGGGCCGAACCCAGGAAAACATAACCGGAAAACTGAACCGGACCGCTTTGCACTGTGACGTTTTGTTGCATTTAATGGAATAAAAGGTCTTCCCTGCAAGCCTTTTCAGAATAGGACTGACTTAAATGTCAACATATAGTATACTGTAGTGCTGAGATCAAATTAGAATTAGGAGTAGGATGTGATTTGACATGTGTTTAATTTGAATATTCCGATGTTCATGCCTTTTATGGATTAAATTGAAAATCTTAACTTCTTCAGAAGCTGGAAAGAGATGATTCTTCAGGTTACTGCCTGAAGGTTTAGTTTGGCGTAACTTTTTTGGGAGTTGCATGGGCCTCGTATGTGGCAATGAACCGCTTGTTAAATGATCCAGTTAAAATACTTGCTCTACAAATGCAAGAGCCGCAGCTGTTCAGTTCTCTGGTGTAGTCAAGCACCCAGTTTACATTAGCTTTCTAGGCAATCTAGCAATGCCGTTCAGCATCTTCTCAACGTAGATAAGAGCATTTGTGGGTTTTGCTACATTTTATCCTCGTAACAACTCTGTGAAAGGAGGTTAGACACAGAGAGAATGAAGTTGTGACTCCCATGGTTGAGAAGGCCAGTTCTCCCCCAAAAGATCTTCATTATTTCTGCGATAAAGAATCTCCATATCAACACACTAGCACTTCCTTTATTCACATAGTGTCCGATTCCACGCAGGAAACACACACACTTCTATACTTACCACGGGATTCAGTATGCTGAGAACCTCAAGCTGGTTTAAAAAAAAAAACTGAAACAAGTTTCTAGACCTTAATACACTGTGAAATCCAGGACCCTGAAGTGTGGGTGGTAGCAATACTGTAGTTCTTTAGTTCTTTTCCCCTTCCCAATATTACCAGAAGCAGAATGAAATAATAATGATGATGATGATGATGATGATAATAATAATAATAATAATAATAATAATAATAATAATAATAATAATTATTATTATTATTATTATTATTATTATTATTATTTATACCCCGCTCATCTGGCTGGACTTCCCCAGCCACTCTGGGTAGCTTCCAACAAAATATTAAAATAAAGTAATGCATCAAACATTAAAAGCTTCCCTTCAGATGTCTTCTAAAAGTCTGGTAGTTGTTGTTCTCTTTGACATCTGGTGGGAGGGCGTTCCACAGGGCAGGTGCCACTACCGAGAAGGCCCTCTGCCTGGTTCCCTGTAACTTGGCTTCTCGCAGTGAGGGAACCACCAGAAGGCCCTCGGTGCTAGACTTCAGTGTCCGGGTAGAACGATAGGTGTGGAGATGCTCC